CAGACTTCCCCATGACGCCTACACTCACAGAGAAGGAAGCTGAAGTGCCAGGAAATTAGAGTAACAGGTACACATTTCACATGTAGAAGACACCACAAGAATGGAGCTACTATTTTAAGCTTCCATTTTTTTCTTGCATGACAGAAATAATCTTGTATAAATTGAGATTTCTTTCTTAGTGTGTGTGTGTGTGTGTGTGTGTGTGTGTGTGTGTGTGTGTGTGAGAGAGAGAGAGAGAGAGAGAGAGAGAGAGAGAGAGAGAGAGAGACTGAGTGACTCTCACTATATATATAGTTTGTTCTGGCTCAGATCTCATGGTCCTCTGGGTCCTGGAATTGCAGACATGGACACCATACCTGGCAGCTGGACTTGTTCTTTTCCCATGGGTTCATAGCTGAGTTTTGAGGGTCTTGTATGCTGAGATACTAGAACATTCTTTCTGGTCCCCAGTATCCATAGTTTACCATTTTCTGAGAGTTCAGTCAACCCAACTGGTTCCCAGTCAGCAATCAGACATGCTGAGAGTTTTCTTGTTCTGTCTGTGTAGCCCCGAGTTCCTGCACCCCATTCTGTGCCACATGAGATGTTCTTGATTGGCTATCCAGACACAACATGAAGCTGGTTCTCTTCTGGGGTCCTATGCTGGGTTTTACTTGATAGGTCAAAAGATGAGTTATTTTCTCTTTTAAGCTCCGTAGATGGAGCCAGGGCTTTGCTCCTGTCTCTTTAGGCAACCTAGGACAGTGCTCGCTTCTCCCTTCCTCCTCAGCCCTGCCGCTTGTCAGTCTGGAGAAGGAGCCAGCCTCCATTTCTACCAAATCCTCTCTCTGTGCCTTAAGTCCTTTCTATTCTCTTCACAGACCAAGCCTTTGAAACTCAGAACCTAGAAAATAGCACTTTATTCTTTACTCTCTATAATCAAATCTCTTCTCTGAGGCACTGAGTACAGAATAAAGTAGCTGACTGAGTGGCCAGGAGTGAAGGTGTGTAGGCTGGGTGTCCGTTCCCGTATTAAAAGTGCTATTCTTGGGCCAAGTATGGTGGTGCATGCCTTTACCCTGGCATTCTGGGGCTAGGAGCTGGTGAGTTAACACGAGTGAGAGCCAGCCAAGGTTACATAGACCCTCTCTTAAAGAAAAATAAAGTAAAATAAAATAAAATGGCTGGAGAAATGGCTCAGCAGTTAAGAGCATGCATTGCTGTTCAGAGGACCTAAGTTCAATTTCCTGTATCCAGTTACTGGCTAAGACGCCTGTAACCACAGCTCCAGGGGACACACTACCTCTGGGCTCCATGGGCACCTCTCCACACAAGTGGCATACACTCACACAGACACAAACACACATACACATGATTAAAAATAATAGATTTTTTTTAAAAAGAAGAAATGCTATTCTTTACCTTATCTATGGCCGTACCACCCTCAGTACACTCATGCTTATATGATCTCAGAAGCTAAGCAGGGCTGGGGCTGGCTAGTACTTGGAAAGGAGATAGGTCATTCTCACCCTAAGATAGGTAGAATTGGCCATGAGGATGGTTGACCCAATAGCCAGGGCTCAGGACTGACTCAAGAGAAGGCAATGAAGAGGGAAGAGAGTTGGGACACCCTACTCTGTTGGGGGTTGGAAGGGACTTCTGGTGAGGGGGATCTTGAGTGGGTAAGATGTTGGGAACATTTCTCTGTGGTCATGAGCACCCATCTTTTATTCCTTTCCTGAGACACTCATTCCCTCTGGACCCCGCCACTAATGTACTTAGGACATGGGATGTACTGCCCAGCCTGGTGTACACACTAGAAACACAGGTCAGGACATGGTTGGAAAGGGTTCCAATGATGGGGAGAGACAGAGGTAGGAAAGACTGATAGATACTTAGGGACCTGTGAGAGTGAAGTGGTCTTGGGGAGAGGGAGAGGGGGAGGGAAAGATAAGCAGCTAATGGTGTTTTGAGGAGAGAGTTGGTGTGCTCTACTTTTTGGGAGAAGGGAAATGAAAACATTCCCTTACATACTGGAAGCATTTAAGCAGAAGAGCAGCGTGAACAAACATGTTTTGATGGCTGGTGTGAAGGACGTGTTTGGGGGAGGAGAGTCAGTGACAGAGCACCACAGTATTGAAAGAGAAATGGTGGGGGCTCCTAACAGTGGAAGGAGGAGACGTTAGACCATCAGCGCCCGATGGCATGTGTGGTGTGTGGTGTGTGCCATGTGAAAGTCTAGGATGTCCGCTCTCTTTGACTTGGACTATGGCTCCGTTCCCTGAAATGATGACCTCAGGATTCAGGATGATGAGTACAGTCTGAGACATTTAGAATTAGAGATATTTGTCGGAGGAGCCAGCAATAAGGCAGGAGTGGACAAAGCAACTGAACCAGACCTGAGTCCTTAGTTGTCTGCTGCCTTGGATCATTGGGAACATCTAAGATCCAGCATGCCTGGTCCATCGTGTAGACAGACAGGGCTGCAGCCAGTACTTACTGCTGTTTCCTTGCATGAATCTGTACACACAGACACCCATACCACACTGCTTGGAGCATACCTAGTAACACCAGTTCAGTGTTGCCAGGTGGTGATGCAAGAACCTCCGTGTGGACAATTCAGTTCCACAGCCTTGTCAGGAAAGCCCTATTAGAGCTAGGGGGATGAGTTAGCATTGATAGCATCCTGCCCCACAGGAGCTCGCTCTCACATTGGTGACATGAACGTAAGCATGGACTCAGTCCCAAATGATGGGCCCCAACAAAAGAAGACACCTCAAAACACATCAGAAAATATGTGAGGGAGCTAGTGTCTAAAGTGGCCTGAAAACTTGACCTTGATGTGATTCGTGAAGAGCATGAGCAAAGATGGGAGGGCAGCCGTGGTACAGATGATGCACTTAGAGGTTGGCCATGTAGGGGAGGGGAAGTCATGCTGTGGAAGCAGGCCCTGAGGATTCAGCCATAGGAGTTTAGACTTAGAACTGTGAGAGTGGGGAGCCATGAATGGTGCCGCACGGGGTGCTGTAGAGATCATGGGTAATTAACAAACATTACCCCAGAGAACACTAAAATGCATCGACATTGTATTAAGGAATGCAAACAAAAGTACTTTGTTTTGATTTAAAATTTTTCTTATTTTTTGAGAAAGGGTCTCACTGTGTAGCCCTGGCTGGCTCAAATCTCACTATGTACACCAGGCTGACCCTAAACCCATGGAGATCCGCCTGCCTCTTCTCCCAAGTGCTGAAATTAAAGAAATGCACCACCATGCTTTACTTTCTTGGAGTAATTTGACCAAAAATGAGCCAAAATTTGAAACCTTCAGTGTCCTTCTGTGTCTTCTGTTTGTAGTCTGTGGTTACTGGCCTATGTATAGTCTGACTATTGTGTACATGTGTCTGATGTCTGACTGTCCTTGTTTCTTATCTGTTCTGTGTCTGAATGTGTCCCTGTCCCTGTGTCTGTCTGATCTCTGGTTGTCCTGTATCTATCTCTAAAACTGGCTTTGAGGTATATTTATAGACCAGCACAGGCAATATGGCATAGGACACAAATGAGGAGTTCTTACCAAAATCTTAAACAGAGTTTTAAAAAGGAAGTAACTTTCCTGCTCCCAATTGACCCAGGATAGTAAGCAAAACCACACAGAGGTTATTAACCTATAACCACACAGAGGTTATTAACCTATAACCACAGGGGTTATGAACCTATATCCACATGTTGCTTTCAACATTTATGTCAGGCATTTGTTTTAAAGTTGCTTCCAACCCATTAGCTGGTTTTAGCAGATGATTACCACAACATGCACACAGTATTCTGGGTCGAGGCATGGACAGGCACATAAGATTAAAACTGTGCATTATTAGGTTGAAAAGCTGCTTGCATGGGGAAATCCAACACCTAGTAAGACTAGTTACATTGTTCTCTTAAAAGCCAAGTTAAGCTGAGCACATAGTAGGACATCAGGCTTAGTACACAGTCTTAAATAATCTCAAGGGGTATTATTTACTATGAGGTCTGTCAAAAGTTCAGTCTTTTAGTACAAGATTAGACTTATACAATCTTGGGAGTGGTTAGATCATGCAAGCTGGAATCTCTGCATTTGGCACTGGGCCAGAAGCTTTTCCAGGTCTGCTGGTCTGGCAGTCAAGCCATGGTTGTGAGGAAAGAATTAGAGTTGAAGAAACAAAAAGAAAACTGTCCAGCTCTTTCCAAGCTTAACTTCTCACAAGGCCTGCAGAGAAGTGAGTTTTTGACACATGGCTGCACTTGGCCCAGTTTGAGAACAGCTTAGAGATGGTATCTGGCTAGAACTGCATTGGCTGCTGCAAACAAGGTTGTGACGTGAGTGCTCCTCAGGGCTGGGTGTTGCTCACTTTGGCTTCCCAGTTTCTGTGCATGTTTCTCGTGGGCAACTCTTAACCAAACCCATGCAAAGGAAAACTCTTGGAAGCACGCTTTTGGCCTAGTTTGCCTGTCCTGGTACAAAGCTGCCATTAGTAAGTAAGCTAACTCTGGTGGGATTTTGAACCTTGCATGAGTCTGTGAAGGAGAGATTAGGGCAGAGGAAATCAAGTCCCTACACCCTCTTGGGCTGACTTTGATCATTAGGCTTTTGTTGATCATTAAGGTTTTCAAAACTCTCCAGTCCTTTCCTTTCGTTCAGGCATGTGCCAGCCTGGGCTTCCCCTCCTCCTTGTGTTAGTTGCGGCCCTGTGTTGGCCACTGAGACCCAAGAGTGGAAGTGCCCGTGTCACTTCTAGGTAGAGGCTGTGCGAGTCCATGCAGGCCTGTTTACTTCTCCTTTCCCTGGCCATGGTTATCAGCAGCATTCCGGATTGTAACTATATTATCCTGAGTCCCAGAAGGGTGAAGCAGAGCAAAACCCTGGCCAAGCTTCAATAAACCCAAAGCATGAGTGAGAGACAGGCCTTAATGGTTTTTAAGTCACTGAAAAATTAAAGTCATTACCACAATAGAACTTAGTCTCTGCTGACTGACAAAGACTAGGCTAAGAATTAAAAGTGGGACATTTTCCTGGTGAGGAGACCTCCCCGTACCAGAGCTGTGAAAGCAGCTTTCACCTCTGTGTTCCTCAGACTATAGATGAAGGCATTCAGTGAGGGGGCCACAATCGCATAGAGTAACGTGACAATCTTATCCACACTGGGGTCTTTGTCTTTCGGCTTGAGGTACATGAAGGAGATGGTTCCATAGAAAATCACCACCACTGTGAGGTGGGCAGAGCAGGTGGAGAAGGCCTTGCTCCGGCCTGCAGCAGAGGGCATCCTCAAGATAGCAGCCAGAATGAAAATGTAAGAGAGGCATATGAGCAGAAGTGGGGTCATTGTCAGGACAGTTGTGGCCACCATTAATATCAGTGCATTGAGGGAAATGTCCCCACAGGCCAGTTTCAGCACTGCCAAGATCTCACAGAAGAAATGGTTGATGATGTAATGACCACAGAAGGGGAGGCGCCAGGCAAGGATGGACTGCAGGAGCGAGTTGGCAAAGCCTGTTCCCCAGCTTATTACCGACATCTGTATGCATAGCTGCCCATTCATGAGCTCTGAGTAGCGAAGCGGCTGGCAGATAGCCATGTACCGGTCGTAGGCCATCACAGCCAGAAGCAGGCACTCGGTAGCACCTAGGGCCAGGGTCATGTACATCTGCAGGGCACAGCTGGGGAAGGAGATGGTCCTGTGGACATCCAGGAAGTTGAGGAGCATCATAGGTGTGAAGGAAGAGGTACCACAGATGTCTATGAGAGAGAGGTTGCTGATGAAGAAGTACATGGGGCTGTGCAGGTGGGGGTCCAGCACAATCAGCCCCACAAGGAAGGAGTTTCCTAGTAGTGTTATACAGTAGATAACCAGACAAAGCACAAACAGAACAATCTCTAGGCTGTGGTGGTCCTGTAGTCCCAGCAGGACATACTCTGTCACTGCTGTGTGGTTTGTCTGATCCATCTCATGTCTTCTTTTGCCACCAGGACCACTCAGCCTTGGCTGGATGGAAAATGAACAAGACAGGTGAGGGACCTGTGGCAGGTCAGCCCCTCTCTCTGGAATTTAGTTCCATCATCTGTATAATGAGAGAGTTGGGCTTTAGGTCTGCAGCTTGCCCTTTCAGCTTGCAGTTCTATTGACATAGCCAGGGGAGAGCATGTCACATTTTGGTCCCCTAAACTCTTCACTGTTCTCTACAGCAGTGCTCAGAGGAGGCAGGAGACTCACATTTGATGCCCAAGTCTCTATCTTCCTGCGCACTAATATTACAGGTGTGCACTGTCACACCCAAGCTTGTCATGTGTTCTTGACTGTTCAAAGGAATCCCTTTTTTAATCGTGGCTTCCTTTGACAATGGTGTCCACCGCATTCCCACTTCATGTATCCACTGGGTATTTACTGAGTACCTGTTCTGTGCTAGGTATTGTTTCAGAGCCTGAGCCTCCAAAAGAAATAAAGAGAGAGAGGGAAAAAAAGTCATACCTGTATAGTTATTGCCGGGAGGCAAGAGGTGCTCCAGAAGTCAGGTGTTTGGTGGATGCTGCCACCTAGCACAGGATGTGTGAGTCTGATTGCTGGTCATCTCTCTTTAAGTAGTTGCAGGACAGTCTCTTGATTTTAAAAGCAAGATACAAGAGCATGCATGCTCAGGAGAGCTGCTGCTGGTCATGGGGTTTAATCTGCTTCTGAAGGCCTGTGAGCCTGTGCTAAGCACTGTGGACACAGCAGAGAAGCTGTGGCTTCTGCTTCTCTGAAGTTTAAAACCATTCACCCTCTCGCTCTCAGTGACCTTGGACACAATGCTTCCTCTCTTGGGGTTTTGGTTCCTTGGGAGTCTCTCAAGAAGTCAAACCTGAACTCTGAAGAGACTAGTTAACTTAGTCATCATTGGATGTGTGGTTACAAAAAGACCTGGTTCAGTTCAACTCCTGGCAGTTGTAAATCAGGTGGAAGCATAAACCCATCTCTCTGTCCTTTTCTTCATTACTCTCTCACAAAAGGCCAAGTAGGATGGCAGAGACATTTGGGGCTTTTGTTAACACTCTGCTTTACTCTCCTACCTCACGCGAACTGCATCCATTCTACACACTGGCTTCAGTCTTGATAGAGTACATCCATCATTAGATAAAAGTACCCATAATCCAGGCTCATTGCTCTTCCTGTGAGAGGTCCTTAGGCTGGACCGGCATTTCTCACCCTTTCCTCGAGGCTCAGCTTGCATACCTTCCCTGTGTGGCTGCCTCATATGGTTCTGACCACCCTGGTAGCAGGATGCTCTTCTGGCTGTTATCAGACGGATTTCACTGTATTGTGTTATGGCTCCCCCCATCATGCTCTGACTAGACTATTGAATAGTGAGTTATTGAAGTGAAAGGGATACATCCAATTTGTTACCATGGTCCTCCTGTGTCCTGTCCCCAAAAAGACCAATGGTTGCCATTTCAACTGAACCATGTGTTGAGATGGCTGCTATCACTCTGCCCCATGTAGTGATCTCTGATATGAAGACTCCTCTGCTGTCACCAGAAAGATGTAGCTGTTGAGATTGCTAGAAGAGGCTTTTGGAGAGTGGCAGTGTCCTGTCTGAGAATAGCTGCTTTTTGGGGAGAGCACATCAGGAGCATTGTGGGCTTCATCACAGCCTCAGGGTCTGTTCATGACACATGAAGGCAATGAGAACTAATCCATTTTAAGTGAAGAAAATACCAGTTGCCAGGCAACCAGCAGCTTCAACTCACAACTTGGACACATGATGGGCCATATCAGTCAGGATGTGCTGGGTTGTGCTGTAGTAACACATACAACCTCATAATTTTAGCTGTCTTAACATGACAAATGTGTCTTTCTTAGTATTCACATAGTGTGGATTCTGGAGTGCTCTTTTAGAGACTGGCTAAGAGAGGCCTCTGCCACTTGGGATATCATCAGTTATTTCTGGGAAGGACACTGTAGAATAAACCCACCATCGTTTAAATGCTCACACCCAGAGGTGCCACACTGTATGTACATCTTCTCGCAAACTACTGGGCCTGTGTAGTCCCACCACATGTTCAGAAGAGCGAGAACCGGTAAGGTTACAGCATATCAGCACTGCATTTGGGCACCTTGGCATCTCACAGCACAATCAAATCCATTCTAAATAAGGCATGGTGGTACATGCATGAGAATCGTAAGTTTGAAATCAGTCTGGTCTACCTGGAGAGTACCAGGTCAGATTTTTTTTTTAAACAAGTGATTCTAGCATCTGTGTAGATGACACTGTTATGTCCCAGAAAAACACCATATTTAAAGAGCTATGAGACACTGACTGTCTCCCAGAACCACATCTCTGCTTTCTTCCTACTGTCTTACACCTTGTGGAGGCAGAAGCAAAACAGGGCTGAGTTCTGAAGTGGAAAGGAAGAGACCTGGGTTTGATTTCTAGCTTTTTGTTCTTATCCTGTTGTGTGACCTTGGCCAAGTTCTTCCAACTCAGAAAATGGAGCCATTCAGTTAGGTGATCTCTGGTCCTCTGTGACCTCCCAAACATTCCATTGTGTTGTTCCAGAAACTTCTAACCTAGAGGCCTGGCAGACTAGTGTTAGTTTGCAAGGTAATTATGACATTAGTTTCATTGCTGGTGAATCTAATGCTAACCATGAAATTCTTTAAAATGCAGGCTTCAGACATTAGTTTTATAGAAAGGAAGGGACATGATAAATAGAACGGTCTTTTTCCTTTAAATGCCTGGATTTCTACATCACCACTTCCACCAGGACTGTGTGACAGGGTTGTGAGAGAGGCCTTGGAGTCAGGCTGACCAGGGCCCACACACAGCTTTGCCGATTGCTAGCATCGGACAGAGAATGTAAAGGGTGGGTCTTTTGTAACTTTGCTCTGTGTATGCCAGTGGCTCTGGGGCTGGAGTGGTCCTTTACTAGGCCTGGATACCTGCACAGGAGAATGAGTTGTCTCCTTTCATAATTGCTCTGTGATAGCCTTGGGTCAGTCAGTCCATCCATCCATCCATCCATCCAACCATCCATACACCTCCCTCTTGCCCTGACAGGATTTTTTGTGTGGTCATTTTTTTTTTGAGACAGGGCCATTGACTATCCTGGAATTTGCTATACTGACCAGGCTGGCCTCAAATTTATAGTGACCCTGCTTCTGCCTCCCACATGCTGGGACTGCAAGTGTCACCACCATGCTTAGTTTGCCAACAAACAATCTTTTTCGAATCTTTGTTTCCTTACCTATCATAGGTAGATGGTGGTGTTTTCATAGAAGTGATGATATTTTAGGAATGCAGTGTGTGTGTGTGTGTGTGTGTGTGTGTGTATGTGTGTGTATGTGTGTGTGTGTAGTGAAGCTTTTAGGACAGAGAGAGCCTGGCTCATGGTAAATATTCAGCCAGTGTAGATATTACTATTGTCATGTAGTAAGTACTTCAGCTTTTAAATATTTTGAAAAAAAGTTACTGAGGATAACACACCGGATAAATGTTCCTTACCACAGGCTTGCTGACCCGGTAGCATAAGAATATGTGGGGATCTGGAGCCATGCTAGCTGATCTGAAGATTGCAGAGCTGGTGGGGTAGTCCTGAGCTCAGAACTAGGAGGTACAGTGTGCTAAGGTGGGTCAGGCTGAAGGGCCCCAAGGATCAGTGTCCAGGTCCCTTGTCACACAGCCTGCCTGCTCCCTTTCCAGGGACCACATAGTCCCTGCCCAATTTAAAGTTAAACTCTACGAGCTCACAAACTTTCAGGTTTGCCAGCTGAGGGACTAGGGCCCCTGGGACTCTCCAGATTCCTTGTCCTGTCCCAGGAGGTTCCTGCTGATGTGAGGTGGACAGAGAATGTGGGCCTTGTTGTAGCCTTGCCCCGTGTATTCCACAGGCTCTGGGGATGGAGTGGTCCTTTACTAGGCCTGGATGCCTGCACAGGAGAATGAGTTATCTCCTTTTATAGTTATTGTGTGGCCTTGGATGCATTCACCAAACTTTGAGGAAGGCTACTTACTGGGGGGAGTATGAGACCCCTCAACTGTGGGTAAGGGGTGTTTTAGAGGCAGAGATCAACTCAGACATGTGGATTTTCTTTTTTAAAACAGGTTTTCTCTTTCCTCTTCTGTTCCTGGCCTTCTACAATAGAGATACTATTTACAATTTAGATTACTAAAATACAACTATAAATAAGATAGTAGAATTTACAATGTTTCATACTATGCCATAATATATCTTCTGGAATTTTATCAGGAATACAAATCAAAGAGAAAAGTTATAGCATGATTAGCTCTTGGTTTCTATCTGCCTCTGTGATGGCCGAGCCCTGCTTGCTGCCTAGAGGGACACCTGGACCCAAGAAGTCTGAGATTAGCTCAGTGTCTCTTCAGCCTCCCAACCCCCAAGTTTGTATCCCGCACCACAGTAGATGGTGGCAGCATCTCTTATCCATTCAACAACAACAAAAAACTCCCCTGAAGCCCACGGCCCTTCCTCTTCCTCACCCTCATCTCTGCAACCCCAAACAGCAGACGGTAAATCACAAATATTATACCACATCGCTCCCGCTCTCAGTCACTTTACTCACGAGTGTCAAAATTCCCAACTCTTTCTGTTCCTCGCTCCCTCTCCCTCTCTCTGCTCACGTGGCTGAGGTTGTGGCATCAGCTTCCTCACTGCCCCATCCCCACCCCCCGAGCCCTTCAACTCTGGAGCAATGAGCCCTCCCACTTCTTAAAAAGAATACCACCCTTTCTTAGATTCAATGTCATATTTATTTAGAAATATTGAACAATATTGAAAGAACCAAGCGAACAATACTTATCTGTAACCTCATTGCCCAGAGAGGAAGCAACTGCTAATTAGCATCTCATCAGAGTTTTCCAGAATTTTCTATAGACTTAATCAAATATCCATGAGACAAATAATTTAAAAATAAGATTAGGGAGGCACTGAATGCGATGTTTTGTGGTCTGC